AAATGAGGTGTGGTAATACTCTCAATATGCTCATTGATGACGCAATCCTCTGGACACAGGAAGATATTTCTTATTTAGTATTTGTTTGTTCGACCAGTGGCCTGAAAACGATCTTATGAACTTTGAGACCAGCGCTTTGTTTGATCTGGTGAAATGGCTCTCAAAAGAATGAAACACTTTTGAAAACTCTTTTCATTTGGGAACGGTCAACCAGGGCCGTAGACCCGTTGAAGGACAATGCATAACATGGAAGCACATCGATGGATCACCTTCTCGCTACGAATATTACAGTGCCAAAATAATGAGAATTATTGTTCAATAACAGTCTGCGATTCCATTTCTCATACATAATAAATCTCGCATACTCTGTTGTTTCAAATCTACTACCCTTTGATGATGATACCAAAACAACAGCAATATTTGGCATTTGGTGTTTGCCACTATGATGCTTGTGCGATCGGTTGTTCTCAAGCACGTTTTATGCTTAACTTTCACTTTGCATTAAATTTGGTTTCTCATTATTTATGACTATTTATTTCTGTCTGTCATGCTGCAAGCTTGAGTTTTTAAGTGAATACCGCAGGTGGCAGTTCAGACATCGATTCAAGTTTATGGCTGCGAGATGCAAGCGAGTAACTGAACACTAAGCACTATTTTGTTTCTCTTATACTCGTGCTACATTTTACTACTTCCAGGAGTTCTGGTATAGCGTTTCCGTTGAGAATTTTCTTTTGTTTTTCGTTTTGCAGTTAATTTTGCTCTGTAATTTTCGCCTGTTCTTCTTTATTGATTCATTAAAGCATGTATAAACAGTAAAGGTTATATTTTACTTTGTCCTTTGGCTTTAATTGTTCATTGTTCACAAAAAATGCATCACAATACTTTAAAATAAATCATTCGTAACGATTTTAGACTTATGATCATGCTTTCAATTGCCTAGTAGTATTTTGCTCAGTTTAAAATGATAATAATAGCTGGTTTAAAATGTGTAAATTTGCAATTTACACAAGTGGACATTTCGAAGGGAGGGAATGTGCCTCTTAAGCGTAGGTTGTTTGCAGCTCATAATTGGCGCATGCCAATTTTCTGTCCCCGCAGTTGCGTTTACAGTCTGATAAAGCGAAGAGAAACGAAATGGCGCCGGTTCGTAAACAACCGATGAGATCGCAATCGAAGACCATTTTGAGGACAATCCGCCATGGCCAGAAAACACGACCAATCATTGCAGCTTTAAAAGCCGGTGCGGACAATGCCACTGAGGGACCGTGGTTGCTTTCGGTAGGTACAATCCTGAACAACTCCTGGCAGGTGAGGAACGCACTCGCACACGGATCTTTCGGACAGGTATTCGTCGGAGTGAATCTGTTCACTGGCTGCAAGGTCGCCATCAAAGCGGAGCCTTCGACCAGCTCCGCTTTCACTCTAAGAACCGAGGTACTGATTTTGCAGAAACTGAAGGGCAAGCCGCACATGCCCGAATATTACGGATATGGGTGTACCGCCAGCGTGTTTTACGTCGTCATGCAGCTATTGGGTCGCAATTTGTCAGAACTGAAGAAGACGACATCTTTAGACATGTTTAGCGCTGCCACCACGTTCCGATTGGGCATGCAAATGCTGGAAAGTATCGAGCAACTGCACGACATCGGCTACCTGCACAGAGACATAAAACCGGGAAATTTTGTGATCGGTAAACGAGCAAATGGCCAGCACAAGGTCGTGTATTTGATCGACTTTGGCCTTGCGCGACAGTACGTAGATCCAGTGACCGGCAGCATCAAACCCCCAAGAACAAACTGCGGTTTCAGGGGCACAATGCGCTATGCGTCGGTGAACAGCCATAAAGGCCGAGACCTCTGTCGTGCTGACGATCTGTGGTCACTGTTTTACTCCATGCTGGAAATGATTCGTGGTCAGCTACCGTGGCGCAAAATTCATGACCGACAAGCTCTGCTCGTTGCGAAGCAGGAGACTGACTTTTACTCGATCCTCGAAGCGTATCCTCCAGAGCTGCATCGCATGTTCAATCATCTACATTCGCTAAATTACTACTGTAGACCTAATTATTCGATGCTGAGCAAAGCGTTTAGAGCCAGACTGGCTTCGTATAAGGTGAGGGATTCAACACCTTTTGAATGGGAACATCCGGATGTCGATGAAGATGAGATTATGTCACTGACCGACAACAACGGAGACTGCTGACGATCCATAACTTCGCTTCACTAACATCTAATCAGACTTTAACTGAAAGTTATGCGCTTATTTGCTACTAGTAAAGTCGCAACGAAATGAGGAATGAGGAAATTCGAAAATTAATTCAAAATTTTCATAATAAAAACTCTTCCTGCTGCCGACTGATTCTATGCAAACAATGTCTGAATTTACAACTTTCCCTCATGAACGTCAGCCAAATTCTAAGAAGCACTCTGCCGATACCTTTACCTCGTATTCTGTATACACGACGGAATTGACATTGACTGAACTTCAAGGAATTCCTCACAAAGTCCAGAAGAATTCCGCGTAAGGTAAACAATTCAACGAGCAGCAAATAAAGCAGTCCGGGTTAATCGACGAATATTATCCTCCGTTCTGAGTGAGGACCGCATCTTCATCTTCATCTTCATCTTCCATCGCCACCTCTCCTTTCGGGTCGCGGAGGCAGACACGTCAGACAGTGCTTCCAACGTTCCCGATCCTG